GAAGTTACATGAAGTTTGATGGGGAGGATCAAGTTAGTATGGCCCATTAATTTTTGAAGAATATCTATGGACCTGAAAAGCAAGATACGTAAATTCATTACGCAGGCACGCCTATGAGCTACTGAATACACCTAAACACAAAGTTAATAAGAAGCTACGTCTATGGACTTGTGAACATAGTTCCCTTTGTAACCTTCATGGTCTGTTCTGATTTTTATATGCAGGTTCCAGGCAAATCAGCTCAGGAATGTTTTGACAGAATCCATTCCGTCCTTCCAACTCCATCTTTATCTAGGCCACGTTCAACGATTAGCGGCAAGAGTGTTACTAAAATGGGGTCGCTCACTCCATACAAAGACAAAGTACTGCTGCCTGCTGGACATAAGCCGAATAGAACGAGTAGTGGTAAGAGGAGTCTTCTTGCTCGTAAGACTGTGAGGCATCTATTGAGGAAGCACAGTCGGGTTGAACAAGGTCATGAAGTAGATCTCTTTGCATTGATTGAAGGTTCAGATTCCCCCACTTTGTTCCCTCCCTCCTACCCCAGATTGTCTATATAAACCTTCTACTTTTCTGCAAAGCAACCAAAAGGTTCATCCGGTATTGCATTCAAAGCCGCTTTCCGAAATAAAAAATATACAGGTCCAGCAGGGGCTTATGAGCCCAGAGGTTCTGAAACAAGTAAAGAATTTGGCCTTGCATGAGAAGTATATTGATCAACTGCATAGCAGAGAGATGAAAAGAAATATGGGTTCAAGGAACTCTAGCATTGGCAACAATGTAGGAGGGGATTTGCAGGATAGGGGCGTTTTTAAGGTGGCAAGGACAGCTCTGGTTACTGAGACCATGGATGTTCTCAAGAAACTTGAGAGTAATGAAACAAGTCCTACGATTAATGATGAGGAATTTGAGGATGATCTTGATAATGAGAATGATGCCAATTACTGAAAGAAAGCAATATTTTCCACTAATAACTTTTATCCTGTTTCAGACACATTATAACACTAGCAAACAAAGTTACGTGGATTTGCAATAGAGGGGGTGCAGTTAAAGTGGCAAAGATAGCTATGATTGTCGAGATAAGACAGCTCTGATTGTTGAGACAATTGATGTTCTGAAGAAACTTGAGAGCAGCGAGACATGTCCCTTGGGTAAGAATGAGGAATTTGACAATGATCTTGTTTATGAGACTGACAGAAAATTGCGGGAAGAAAGTAAATTCTTTTCACTGTAATAACTGTTATCCTGTATTGGAAATGATTATACGATGTGGATTGTTGCATTGGAGAGAGGCCGCTACAGTAATCTCTTATTGTTACCAAGAGGCTTCTGTTGTATTCTGCGATGAAATTTTGTAATCAAAGTTGGTTCCTAAATAATTTTGACATCTACTTTCAAGTTTAGGTAATTTTCTCTCAATTCTCGTCTTGCAATGATTTATGCTAGATGCTAACACCAGTTGTCAATCTTTTGTTTCCTTTAGTGTGTTTACCCTCTGCTCTCTTTTTTTTCGTGTTTCATATTCTAGGGTTATTAACCACTTAGACTTGGCCAATGCAGACATGCCAAAAGTTGGAAGGCAATGGGAACGAAGATTTTTGCTTAGCATCTTAATTATTACTCAAAGCCAACCATCGATCTAATTACCTTCATGATCATATTTAGAATTATGAGAATCAATATCTTTCAAGATGAGATTTTGACAGTAAAAGGACAACAAAAATTGTTGGATGAAATCATGATTCAAGTTTTAGCTGAATTGTCAGAAATTGAACAATAATATCTGAAATTCACCCTGTGATTCCACTAAATTAGGGGTTCACGCTTAGGTATACTTTGTCTTGAATGGGGTATATGCTTGAAATAAATTGGGGAGATTTGGTTATAGTTTTGATGCCTAATCTTGTTCCCTGCTTCTTGATGACCATAATCACATTGTACTTTATATATGTAACCTCCCATTTTCTGTAATTTCTTACTATATTCCTTCAACATAAGTCATTTTCCCTGCTTTGACTTCGTTCTCTCGCTTTCCCCATTCTCATTTTTATATATGTAAACTATAAATCCCTATTTTAATATTCACTTTATTTCATTTATTTTTAACAATTTGTTGGTATTTACACTTCCCAATAGACACACCTAAGAAAATATAAAAAATGATAATAATTTGCAAAATACAAATAAATTAGAACACTTCCTGTGAAGTATTTTTGTCAACTTATTATTTTTTAAAATTATTATATCAAATGCGCCTGATGTAACACACATTTTCAAAATTTCATGCCAATCTAATTTATAAAAAAAAAAAATGTCTAATTAAAGTACCACATACAATCATGATCATTCATTTGCTTCTATCTAAATTGTTAGAAGGCATTTCTGAACCATCTAAGCGTCCAAATGGTATTTCTGAACCATCTAAGCATCCAAGTGGTATAAACATTATAGCATCCCTTGCCAGGGATCGTATCCTGTACTTGGTTTAGTAGATAAATATAGACAGCGGACGTTGGGTCTGGCCATTGCACGTCCAACATTTTCTATTTTTCTTTGAATTTGAAGTGTCCAATATTTTATTCGTTCTTTTTTTTAATTTGAAGTGTTCAATATTTTGATAGTGGGAGCTATAAACCAAACACATAAATTATAATTAAATAACAAAAAAATATACAAAAAGACCATTTACTTTTAATACAATAAAATCACAATCATTGATGTCCATTAGATTTCAAAATAAATCGTTATGTCATTGACTAGATTCAAAGTTCAAAACAATATTTATGTGACACACCTCAAGCCATTTAATTTGTTATTTAATGACAAGGAGTAATTATAACCTCTTAATAACAAAGATAACTAATTTGATAATATGCAATCTAATAAATAAGAACATGGGCTAAGTGAACACTCAGCATATTAGCTCAAGGCTCTCCCAAGCACCAAAATTAAGGAACTCACATTTGATTGTTCTGATGTGGTGCAATATGTCATCTCCCCGCACAATAATAATAAAAAAAAAAATTAAAAAAACTATTGTGTGCATGGAAGCACCGTTAAATGCTCTGTGTGAGAGAGAGAGCGAGGTTCAGGATATTATATGTAAGATTAAGGGGCTCACAATGAGTCTTATGATGCAAATAAATAAGTCATACAATAAAAAGAGGAAAAAGAAAAACCTCTTGAAGCGTTGGGAAGCAATGTTAATGATGATAAACCTCTTGAAGCGTTGGGAAGCAATGTTAATGATATATATATATATATATATAGATATATATATATATATATATA